ATGTGCTGGCTTACAGTGACAAATCATAATGGACTTGCCATGATCTGGAAATGGGTTTCTCATGTTTGTAATTAATACAAATACCCTTTAATGTATCTTTAAAATTTTCAGGGCCTCCATAGCTCTAACATATTTGGCTCTTGCTTTGTTTTGAGAAGAGTAGCATGTTGCTGCAAAGGAACATTTTCATCTCAGACATAAATAGAGAGGGTGGTGGTGACTTTCCTGTATGCTATATCATACTTGTGTTTTTTAAACCATTTCAATAATGACTTTTCTGTTGAGCCAATGTTTACTAAACCCCTATCACTTTTTTTTAATGGGAATTTCATACATTTCAGGAACTCCTGGAATGTATGATGATCTCCAAGTAGCTATAGCATATTTAAATACAGTAGAGCGTCAATTATCCGAATCAATTGGGGACTGGGGTTGTTTGGAAAATCGATATTTTGGATAACCGATTATGTACGAAAAAATATATTAGCCTATCCCATGTTGAAATTTTTCTCCATTGCGTGTTGCTTTGTGTTGAATTTTCGTCGATGTTAAGCCTAACGAAGACTATTGTATCATTAAAAATTATTTTTTTATTTTGTACAAACAAAATAAATATATTGAAAAATATAAAAACAGTAAAAAATTATACTTCAGAAGTTAATTTAGTATCAAAAACGTAAAATATTTGAGTAGTCCAAGACATAGCCAAAGACTGCAGCGCTACAGCACTGGCGATAATTTAAATTTGCCGACTGGAATTCTTTCGGATAATTAACTTTCGGATAATCAACGCTCTACTGTAATGCAGTTTCCATTTGCTCTTTAAAGATCTCAAGGTCCTAAAGTGATCAATTCTAAAATTAGGATGTATCATTTCAGCCTTATCTAACTCTGTCTCCATTGCTGTTTCACTGGCAAACATGGCCAATGTAGTGACTGGCTTATTTGTTTCTATGGTATATTTATGTCCTCTTAATATATTGGTTAGTTATGTGTTTGTAGAACCTTATAACATTCTTTTGAACATCAGTTATCAAAATGTTTTGATTTAGTTGTTAACCTGAAGAAGGCTTATCAAGTGAGATAAAATGTTTGTTTAATTAAAACCTATTACTAGGAAGTAAAAATGTTGATTTATGAGTTGTTGAAGTTTTTCCAGTTTTTGGTTTATACTTTGTTTATTTTACTGTTCAACTTTAATTTATCTTAATTTTAGTTTTTTAATGGTCTTGTATTCATTTCAGTATCTTATCAGCTCCTTTACATTAATTCTATTTAAAACACATTCATTTCATTTATTTAAAAATTATTATTCAAAGTTTGCAAGTTTCAGCACATGCAAATATTTTTAAAGATAATTATGCTTTCTGTACAACATGAAGATTCAAAAAGATTCATTATTCCTGGTATAGGAGTTGATTATGGATTTCATTGTCAGTAAATGATTTTACCAATTTGCTGGTAATTTGATTTTTTTACTGGTACATTTGGTAAAAATAGGTACATGTAATAATTTTTCAAACCAAATATTTTTTGTATATATTTCCAGCTGTTTCAATGTGATTCTGTGCACATGCAATGTAATACTGTCTTTTAAGTCTGCCAATGTTACAACATTGTTTACAGTGCGATTTACCTGTAGCAGATGGTTTTGGAACTAAAATTTTTCTTTGCAAAATTCTTTTCTGAATTCTTTGAACAGCATATACAGTGGGTGATCAGTTAAAGAACAGTTCGGATAGTGAACAAATCAGATAACAAACACTTTCGTGAAAGATTTTTATGATCGGACAATGAACACTTTACTGAACAAACATAAAAAAAAGTGACGGAAACGAATACCTATTGATTTTCCCTTGTCTTCGGGTGATAATTTGAAATTCTTTCGGAGTGTGGGAGATGTCAACATCAACGTCAACCCAACTGATTGGATAGTATAATATTCCTCTGAATTTTGAAACTCTCCCTTGTAATTCCAGCTTTCTGTTTACCTTTCTGACAAATAATTTTTTATAGTATTCGCGAGACTGTCCAACGGGCACTTGTTAAGTTTTGCGTCAGGGTTTATTTACGAAAGGTAAAAGTTTAACTGTCTCATAGAATATTTGTTAACGTTTTAATACCAAATTTCGAATTTCATCCAGGCCTTGCATTTAAATAATTTTTTATGGGCTAGCTAATTTCTGTTCTCTGAATTTTTGTAAGTCGTAACTATGAAAGATATATCAAGAAGTCTCAAGCTGCTAATGGAGTAATGAAAATCACATCTGAAAAATAAAGAGCATTTTAGACCTCATAATGGAACCTGAAACTGATCTGACGACAGAAGAACTCCGAGAACTCTCAAATAAAAAATACCAAAAAACTCAGCGAGATGTGTTTTATTTTGAAAAAGAGGAAGACGAAAGAGGATCAATGTCGACATCTGTTACTAAAGATCTTTTAAAGAAGTAGGAGGATGTCAGAACAACAATCATGCAAGTGGCATCTAAACCAGAATAAAGTTAATGTAGGGTTGGGGATCTCTAGAATTACAATACTGTTAATTACTTCCAAAAAATCCTGAAGAAAAGAGAAAATCAATTGACATTGGACAGATTCTTTAACCTCCACAAACAGAAAAACATGACTAATAAAAATGCAAGACAAGATATATATGTATTTTTACTATTACATATAAATAAATGTAGTAAAAAAGTATATATTTTTTATGTTTTGGAGTCTTCGGAATGAATTAATCAAAATTTCCATAAAAACCTATTGTAAATCGATAATCGGTTAACAAACAATTTGGATAGTGAACAAAGTTTTGGAACAGATTATGCTCGTTAACTGATAACTCACTGTATACTCAAATGTCGATGTCTATCAGCTTATTGGTTGAAGCTACAGTCTCTCTGAATGGGACAACTTTATGATCACTCTGTACTTTTAATGCAAACCATACTAAGGAAACAATGGATCATTGTGGAAAATAATGGAGGAACTACTATAAAACATAAAACTTTAAACTTTCTTCAAAAGATCTTTTAAAGTGTTAAGATTTACTACTGAATGATTTTTTTTGCTGTTAGCTCTTATCATTTAACTTCAACTCCTGGCAAACCATCATATTAAAATGTAAATACTTAATGTGTGAACAGATCAACATTATAATCTTTTTCTGTTGAAAAGAGAGGATTTTTGCCTTCTTTACTTATGAATTTTGTGATTTCACATATTTAAAATGTAACTGGAATAATAATACAAATTTACAATAATACAAATTTTTATTCTTAAAGCTATTGTACATATCAGCTATATAATAATTAATAATCTTACAAATGAATAAATTTAATAAGGTACTTACAAGTGATACCATGTAAATCTTTTATATTCATAATTTTAACTTTGAAATGGCCACAGCCATCCATTTTGCCTTAGTTTTCAGTATCCAAAGAAGCATAGGTTATGTTATTTTGTATAATTGGAGTTCTATCATAGTAATTTTTTGTTAAAAATATCATAAATATGCATAAAAATATGATTTAATAAATACTTTATAGAAATATTTTCTTTTAATTTTTTAATCTCTGAAATTATGTCAATGCAGCCTGTTTACATTCATTATTTTGATGGAAATTTTTATTAATAATACTTCACACATTGATAATAAAGTAATCAAATATTTAAGATTGTAGTTTATTACAGAAATAAAATAATCCAGTGCATGATTATTTGAAAAAGTCATGCAAATGAAACATTTCTACAAATTATTAATATTTCTTACAATTTGAGATTACATATTATGCAAAAAGAATTCTAAGACCATTTCTGACATATTTCTTTATGTACACGTTATTATTGTTTAATTGTGCATATACAATACATTTAAATAATTTCAATATTTTTTGACAAAAATTACTCATTTTAATGTTTCTGAAACAATAACAATCTCATAATATTCCAACATTTAAATTTACAGATTTTCAATTCAAAGAAGGGTTGAAATATGGATACAAGTTACATTATTGTAATTACAACCACATATTTCATCATTACTGTAATTTAAATTATTTATTTAGTTTTTAAACTATTTACTATGATAATGCCAATATCTTATAACTATGTAATTTAAGGAATGTTAGTTGAATATCTGTGAAATGGTGTTAGAGTATTGTTAAATAATATGTTCTCACTCAAAAAAAATTTTTTTCTGAAACAGTAAGAATAAGTTATTTAATTAAATAAGCTGTAATAAAGCATTATTTGATTTCTGTACACTATTACAAATATATTTGAATATGATATCGCATTTTATTTTTGACAATTGTCAATATCAGCCATATTAAATTAGTATTTAATTGATCTGTTTCATGATAAATTAATCAAATATAAATTTGTATCATACAAATCAGTTAAAGTCATAGACATTATATTATGTATTTATTAAAAATTTGATTTCTTACAAATTGTAAAAATAAGCATAATTCTTAGGGTGTTTCCCCCTAAGAATTATGCTTATTTTATTATTATGCTCTTCGAATACTTTAGTTGTTTTAGTAAATTTTTATGTAAACATCCATAAATTGTTTTTCAATAGAATTAATTAGTAAATTAATAAAACATGACATTAAAAAGAAATATGAAATCCATAGTTCAAAAATAAATTATGTTGGTAAACTGATTGATGAAAGAAAAATATTTTTGCATAACCATTAAAATGAAAATTATTAAACATTGAGTAGAACATTCTATTTGCTATTACTATAGTAAGATTAACGATTAATTTTATTTAAGACTTTTAAAAGTAAAATGTAAAAAAATGATTAACAGAAACTTTTGAAAAAATGGTGGAACATACAATGACTATACAATATTAAACATTTATATATAATAAATTATATTTTTAAACTTAATTACAATTAATTCCAAAATGTATAAAAATAATACTTTTAATCATTATAGTCAGTCAGTGTTTCAAATTTATTATGAATTTTATTGTAAAAATTTTTTATTTAATAACTATATATAATTTGTTTATTTTCAAATTAAAAAATTAAAATTTTGTTCTTATAATTATGATTGTTGCTTTTAGATCACAATCTCATGATCAAAAAAAGAAGAAAAAGAAAAGAAGAAAAACAGGAAAAGAAAAACATAAACATAGAAGAAGGTAATTAATTTTAAAATGTTGAGAAATTAAAATATTATGCTGTAGAGTAGAGTAGAGAGCAAGCAACACCCTCAAATTTTGCCAATCAGAGGTACAGTAGAGCCTCGAAAACTCGGCACTCGATAACCCGGCACTCCGGATAACTCGGCCACACCCTGGCAGGGCAAAAATACCCTTAGATAATTAATTTTTATCATAGGCAGGTTTATGCCTCATAAAGTATTTTTCTGAGGTCTGTCTTATCAGGTAAATTACTGTACACAGTGTATTCATTAATTTTCATTTTTATGTAGCAAAGGCTCCATACCTTCATAAAGTATGTACTTTTCCTTTGTTTAAAGATATTTGGGCAGTTTATTCTCTGTTGTATTCTCAAGTAAACAATACATACAAGTACAGTATAATATTTTCTGAGGAAACACGCATACTTATCCTTTTTTAACCCCATTCCCGATAACCTGGCATTTTTACAAACTTGGTCACCCTTCGGTCCACATTAGGTTGAGTTTTCGAGGCTCTACTGTATACGTTTTTTTTTTTTTTTTTTATTAACTTATAGGCCAAGGTTTAAACTTTCATAAATCATGTGATAATGCAGGTTTCGGTAACGCAATTTCCTATAATGCTTAACAAATCCCTCGCGTTGTACGGGACTCTACTGTACGTTAATATTCTGGGCAAATCAAATGTGAAAGAAATTGTAATGATTAAAATTTAATTATAAATTGTGTTTAAATAAATATTTCTTAACAGGATTTAAGTCTAACAATATTTATTGTATTGATATGAGAGAATTTTGTGATTATAATGTTCCAAGATGTTGTCTTGAAACATCATAATTTGAAAATTAATGCTATAACATAAGTGAAAATATGATTTTTAAGTCTTCGGCTGCTAAAATTTAAAAGTAATTAAACTGGAAAATGTATTAATGATCATACTTTTTATAAGATCAATTTATTAGATAACAGATGAAAGTAATGTGCATTTAGAACAGCAATTTAAAGAAAAAGGAGAGAGATAAAGTGATTACATTGAATGACTTATTAAAGTAGAATTAAATACAGGTATCCCTTGTATAACACTTTAGTTACATTCTGAAAAAGTGTTGTGTTATTCGAATCTGTGCTGTATCAAAGGACTAATCAAAATCTGGGTTAGGTTCCAAAAGTTAACAAAAGTATACTATTGTTTCTGTCACTAACAGAAATATAACAATATCAAACAGTACCCAGCAAATCATCAAACAGATAAATAACACCTTATCCTTGCCAATAAATATATTTATATTGCTTTAACAATGTGTATATATTGCTTTTATATATTGTTAAAGAAAATATAAAATATATAAAAAATATAATTATATGCAATATAAAAAATATATATTGTTAAAGAAATATATTAGTTAAAGCAATCAATAATTAATTTCTAAATGATAATTAATTAACAATCACAGTTAAAAGTACATTATTACACATTAATATTAATTTTAGTCAAATGAGGATGTTTTCTTTTTACAAAGTGTCATCATCATCTGATCTATCTTGTCAATCTTGATCAGAAATATCAGCAACATCTTCATTTTATTTTTATCATAACTTTTTTTATGGATGACAAAATAAAAACAAAAATATATTATTATCAAAAATTTGTTGTAGGGTCACATTTGTTCAGTCAAGTACAGAGTAATTTTTTTTTCCAAGAATTTGTGCTGGAATACTGAATTGTTTGAGTTGAGAACAACTTACAATACTGCTGTATTTTGTTCATCATTTTTACAAATAATTACTTACGTATGGTTAAAAATGTTTAACAACACATGCCTAAAAATGTTTAAATAAACTTTACTAAATACGACAATTAATCTATGAGGGGAGTCTGATATTAAAGGTACAGGCCAAAATTACACTGACATTTATAATTAAAGAAAATATTTAATACCATAGTAAACCATGAAACAAATCGAAAATTTCGATATTCTAAAATCCATGGGCAAATTTGAGACAACACATATGCTACTTGAAAAATTATCGAAAAACTGAGTTTGCACTTAAAAATTGTGAAATTTTTTATGGGAAATTTCCTGAATTCTTGAACTGTGTTAGAGTGAAGTTGAAATGGGGGATATCCCCAATTTTTGTCCCATGTTAGAGTGAAATTGTTTTGTAGAAGTGCCATGTTGTACCAGGGATACCTGTACTGAATAAAAATCGATAATAGTATAATGTGAATAAACATTTTATAATATGTCTTGCGGTGTAATAATGCAACTCAAAGATTATGAAAATGAAAGGAAGCTTGATTATAATAGTTACTTAAAATGATTTAAACTAATGGAAAAATAATAAATTTGATATTTTTAAAATTTCACAATTACTGTAGAGCTGGTAGCTCTCTTACATTAGAGTTCAGCCACACCTATAATGTTAAAGTGCTAATTTTGACTCTTGATATCTCTAATACCAATGAATCAATCTGGATGGAATTTAAAATATTTTGTGTCTGTGATAAACACTATGGATTTCTTAAATTTTGAAACCACTTGTTGGATTATTTTGGATTTATGCAATAGGCATTTTGTTGCTTTTTTTTTTTTGCCTATATTTTCAATTAGAGAGAATAGTGGCCCCCTGCTAGCTCACATAACTGTAAGGTTATTGCACATTTAGAAGTTATAAGTAAATAGAAGTTCCAGTTTTAGAAGTATTTCATGAACTATGGATCTTTAATGTTATAAATATGTTTTAATTTCAGTAGTCGTATTGTATTTCAATGAATTCAAAATCAATAAAAATCTAGAATTGATCTTTTTTTTTTCATTTAACATTTTATAAGGAAATTGGATCTTGCAAAGGTTCTTATTCTTGTGTTATTTTATTCTCAAATAATTCAATATTTTGGAGTACAATTGAGTTTCCACATTTAGCATTTGCTAGATCCGTAATCTTGGATTGTGTTTTTATACTAATGGTTGTAATATACACAGTCCAGTCATATTAATGTGACTACCCCTTACTGTCGACATCAATGTGAAATAACTAATCATAGGTGGCAGGTAGCAACACATTGCAGTGGAGGGTATATGAAGGATATCTGAGGTAAGTGACACACATTGCAATCATTGGCTTAATGGATATACGACATGATTTATCCGATGTCCAGAAGGGCATGATCATCAGCTTCTGGGCCAAGGGTGGAAGCATTTCTGAAATGGCCAATTTTGTAAACTGTTCGCGTGCCGCCGTGGTAAAAGTATACCGTGCATGGCAAAATGGCACTATCCAAAATCAGCAATGTGGCAAATGTGGTGCACCACAGGCCATTGCGGGATCTGCGAATATTTGTAGGATGATATTCGCAGGGATGAATAAAAAAAAGATTACCACGAAAGAAGGAGACGAGTACAATACAGAATCAAACAAAATTTATATACCAAAAATGTAGTCCAGATTACAACACAGGAAGCTGGTGTAGGCCTGGTACGTGGCGGTCAACACAAAGAGTCCACATAATACACCCGTAGGACGCACCTTCAACTCGAACACCAAGAACCAGAATGCCGAATTTCTGGTTCCCCCACATATATATACCACCTCCACCTACACCATGCTGCCACACAAAAGCCGCCCAAAAACAAACAAAAAAAATTTTTTTTTTTACAATACAATAACCACATTGGCAGTATACAAAAACTAGATATATATACATACATACATACACAAAAAGGAAATAAATCCGAAGCTAAGGAAAACAAAAAAAAAAGTTTTTTTTTTTTTTTACATGACGAAGACGATAACACCGACCGACAATATATACAAGGATGACACACCATAGACGACAGAGGTGAACAACGTCTGCGGAGATGTGTTCGGACAAATAGACATGCAACTGTTGACCAATTGACCACCAAGATGAACCAAGGAGCTACCAAAAGTGTCTCCTCGACAACAGTTCAGTGAATGTTGCTGCGTATGGGCCTTCGCAGCATACACCTGGTTAAAGCACCTATGCTGACTCCTGTTCATCTGCGACAAAGACTGGAATTTTCATGCCAGTATGGCAACTGGATGTCCATTGAGTGGCGACAGGTGGCTTTTTCTGATGAATCACGTTTTATGCTCCATTGGACAGATGGACGTTGGCATATACAGCGTAAAGCCTCTGAAAGCAAACACCCTGCAACAATTGTTGCAAGCATCCAAGCTGGAGGAGGAAGCATTATGGTGTGGGGAATGTTTTCGTGACATTCCCCAGGTGCACTCATCATTGTGGAAGGAACGATGGATCAACAGAAGTACACATCTGTCCTTGCGGACCATTCTAGCTTTTGACAGGTGGTCATATTAATGTGACTGGACTGTGTATATCAAACTAAAAATTTGGCTGCTGCTCAGTGTATTCACTCAAAATGATGGTGGGACACATGGCTTCAGTATCAGTGAGCATTGTCCAAGTAGTACAACTTCTAACCTTTTTGTGTTCTATGTGTCTGGTGAATATCCTGATTCATGCCTTGTTTTCAACTTTATGATAAAAATTTACACAGAATTTTTATAAGAATGTATATAAAATATTTAAAAACAGAAATAAAACTTTTTAAGCACATTTAAACATTTTTCTGGAAGTTCTTGAGTATATGTAGAAAATTTCAGGAATTATTTTAGCAAGAGTATCGATTTACATTGAAATTAACATTTTTGTAGGAATTGTTGGCATGAAATATCTGTAAATACAGATATTCAACTGTAGATTCTTTACAGCCAGTTACTCACTAAAATACATTAGTTTATTAGAGAAATGCTTAAAAACAATTATTTAAAAAATAAGATAAAGTTGAAGCGAATGTTTATTGATTATGTTAATATCAAGTAACTAAACACCTTATTCGTTGCTGAGGGGTTTATTAAAAACAAATGTTTTCGATCTACTCAATAGATCATACAAATATGGAATACATCTTAAAATGGAACATCACATTCAAAATTCAAAAATACCAATAA